CTGAAGGACACTCAATGGCTCAGGGGTCTGCTCCCAGCACTCAGGTGTCCTTTGGGGTCTGAATGAATATGCATCTAGAGATTTTTGAGCTAAGGAATGTTCCAGCATTTTCCAAACAGGAACAATTCAAATGGAAAACATGCAGCTCCACTTCACCTTGCTCATTGCAGATACTCCCTATTCCTCCTTGGAGGAACAGGCCAACTAGAATGTAATGGGTGAATTTTATTGATCCTGTTACCAGTGCCTGGAACTTAGTTTTGAAATGATTAATTTCCTTTGAAATTGAAAGTTTTATTGAATTTACAAAGAGTGTGTATGAGACCTCTTCTTTTATTCGAGGAGAGGCAAGCAAACAGGTAAACTGTTGGCTAAACTCTCCTTGCACCAGGCATACATGTGACCACAGATCCAGGAACTTGGGAGTCTCAGACAGGAGGATGCCAAGTTCAAGTCCAGCCTCAAAAACTTAGTGAGGTCCTAAGATCCTCAGTGAAAAACTGTCCCCACATTAAAAAACAAATAAAAAGGGCTGGGGGTTGAGGATGTTGCTCAGAGGTAAGGCACCCCTGTGTCCAGGCACCAGTTCTCTTCCTGAAAAAATGTCCCCTTTGTTGATTTCTATATATGACCCTGGGCTGGATCTCCAGCTAATGTCAGCAAGAGGTGAGTGACAGCACTACTCCTGTTTCCACATCTCCTGATCCTACTTTACAAAACACACACACACACCTTGGGTAGGAATCAGCCCAACGCCAACACAAGGATATTAGCTTCACCTGTCACAGGACTCTCACCAATTTGGCTCACACCAAAAGGGCCAGGGCACAAAACCTTCCCCCTCTTTGACTCAGGATGCAAACAGAGTTGAAATGTTTCACATGGGGCTACATGGCTGACCCTGAGGGTAAGTGACGGTAACTGGATTAGAGGATGCTATGGAGGGGCAGTACATATAAGTACACAATTCTTCCCAATTGTACACTCTATAAAGAGAGAGCAGGAGAAGTTTTCCTCCTAGAGGATTCATTTCCAACTCCAATCTGGGGGGTCTACAACTTTCCCTGGGCAATGTCTCCATAGTAGCAGTGTTTCAGAGATGCTGTTCCCAGGACAAACAGGACCACATCTTAGAAACTTGGAAGGAAGAGATTAAAAGGGGGTGATGGAATTTATAATCTAAAGGAAAATGCAGTAGGTCTGCCAGATAGAGGGGAAGGCATCACCACCTCCCTGAGGTTAGTGGCTTCTACAAAATCATTGATCTCAAGGAGTGGTGCACAAGCTAAAGTTAGTTAATTATTTTTAATTGATTTTCTCCTTGGTCTGTGTCAGGGTGGACCAGCTTTCTTGCAGGCTGGACCATCATTCTGCCCCCGAGCCACACACTATCCCTTGAATTTACAATGATAGTGGAAATATGAGGCTATTCTACTTCCAAATAATGTTTTTTGAGTAAATGATGATTCTAGTTACTGTAAAATGTGACATGATGACAAAATTCTGCTGCTGTAAAACACTTCTGGTTCTCTCTGCAGAAACATGGCATTTGCTTCAACATCCCCATGAAGATGGACCGAGATTCCAGACTCAGGGTCTCAAGAAGGGCCTTTTACCTGCAGGGTGGGACCGGAATCTCAGCCAACACCTGTCTGCTCTGTCTCCGCCTGGCCGCCATCCTCAAGGGCCACAAACCCAGGCTCAGGGACCTCCTCATCACCCACCTGGCTCTGACATACATTGTCCTACTTCTCATTGTGGCCCTTTTGGTATCTACAGACATCTGGGTAGTGCAGGACATTCCGAGTGACGTCAAATGCAAAATTCTGGTATTCCTGCACAAGGTCATGAGGGGACTGTCCCTCGGCACCACCTGTGTCCTGAGTGTGCTCCAGGACCTCACCATCAGCGCCAGTGGCTCCTTTCTGGCCGACTTCAAAGTCAAATCTGCAAACCCCATCCTGGGGGCATGTCTGTTCCTGTGGGTCCTCACCATGGCCATTATCAGCGACCAGCTTCTCTGCAGGGTGGCCACCCCCAGTGCCAGGCAGCCAGGTCTTCTCTTTGTCAACAGCCACTGCTCTTTCCTGCTGAGGTACAGGGGTGTTTTTCTCTTTCTGGTAATGCTCAGAGACATCTTCTTCGTGGGCCTCATGGCCGTGTCCAGTGGGTACATGGCCACCCTTCTGCACAGACATCAGCAGTGCTTCCTGTCCCTCCACGACTTTAGGCTGTCCCCCCAGACCTCCTCTGAGCACAGGGCCACTCCCAGCGACCTGCAACTGCTCGACTGCTTCGACACCCTGTACTGTGCAGACTCTGCACTCTCCCGGCTCATCAGCGGGATGAGGAGAAATGTCCCCATGCTCTGGAGCATCCACAATACAGTGACCAGTGGTTATGGCATGCTCAGTCCCCTGGTACTGCTCAGGGTGGACACCCAAATCCTGAACATCACAGGAGCCCAGTGAAGGAACAAAGCTCTGATGCTGACAAGAAGCAGCTCCTCCACTCTCGCTTACAAATCCCTCTATCCACACAAACTTCTTTCTGAAATGATTTCAGCAAGTACACCAGATTTAATGTCTGGTAAGGTTATCTATGTGACTACAAATGACCTTGTGTATGGTTATACTTGATATCTGCATCAGTGTCTTTAGGTACATCCACAGAATTTTACAGTCTCATCTTATTTTCTTTCTTCTTGCTTTATGAAAACTTCTTCTAAAGAAGTTCTATTAGAGCCACATTTTTCCTTATTCTGTCTGAATATATACTATTTTAAAAAGAAGACTACCATATGGCTATCAATCAGGCAGTGCCATAACCCTAAATGTCCATCAAGAAAAGAATAGATATTGTGTAGCATGGTCCAGGCCATGGGTTCAATCCACAGCAACTACAGGAAAAAGAAAAAAAAATGGATAAACAAATGCAGTGGGGCTAGAGATGTGTGTATGAACAGACACACTATATATCCATATACACAAACATGTAAGCATATATATATATATATATATTATAATTTATAGATATAGAATATCACTCTGCCATAAAGAGAAATGATACATGCAACAATATGGATAAATTACAAAGGTATTCAGCTAAAAAAATCAGAAAAAAACATCACAGATTGCTGAGTAAAATTCCATTGTGTATATAGAAAATAATGCTAAGGGAAGTTAGCCAATTGCAAAGAAAAAAAAATCAAATGATGAACTTTTTCTCTCATATAAGAAGGCTGACTCATAGTGTTGTAGGGAGGGTGAGCATGGGAGGAATAGATGGACTCTAGATAGGTCAGAGGGGAGGGAGAGGATGGGACAGGGGATTAGCAAGGATGGGGTAATGTGATGGACATCATCATCCAAAGTCCACGTATGAAGACATAAATTGGTGTTAACACACTTTTTCTGTATTTAAAAAAATTGTGCTATATATGTGTAATGAGAATTATAATGCATTCCATTGTCATGTATTTAAAAAAATCAATATTTTTTTTAAAATCACAGATATATGTATACTCCACTCTGAGGAAGTATGCAGAATATGGAAAACCCAGAGTCACAGAGCAGAAGTTGGTGACCAGGTTCTGGGAGGGCAGGAGATTGACCGTCTGCCTGAGGGACACCTGGTTTCCTTTGGTGGTTATTAAAAGCTAGGGAACCAGGAAAGGTTGTAATAACACTGCACCATTTCAAATATCACTAGATCTGATTTTCAAATGGACACTATTAGGAGAAATGAATCTCATTTAAAAACAAACCCTCCAAAAAAACCTGAAAATGCTGGGATTCTGCTCAATGACGGCAGGTATAAACTCTGGTGACAGGAAGGCACTGTGGCGCTGCAGACCCCAACCGTACTATGGACCACCAACTCAGAGTTGTTAGGAATACCGGCTTCCAGGAACTGAGAAGCTACTCTGCCGAGTCACATGTGGCTCTAGCTTCTTTCTAAACCTTGATCCTAATTTTCCCAGTGGTCTTGGGTCCTATAGGAGGAATCCTGACTTTATGGAGAACAAATAAGGGCTGGAAACCAAACTGATTGTCCCAGGGTCACACCCACCATGCAGACCAGGGCTCTGATGGACTGATCAGTCTTTGCAAATAAACTCCAGTCCAGGGTCATTTCTGGACAGAGAAGGGTGGAAAGGGAGGAATCATCAAGAGGCTCCAGGAAACTTCGAGACAGAATTAGTCTTCACAGTCCTTATTGTGGTCATGGTTCCATGGGTGTATGTATGTGGCAGACCTAACAAACTGATAATTAAATATGTTGCTTTATTCTTATCAGTTTCATCTTAATAAATTATTTTTAAATTAATAAAATATATTAAAAGACAATTCAACAATAGGTAGATGACAACTATGCCTAAGGAAATATGGCAGACACCACACATCATTATGGAATTTTAAGAAATCAATCAATTTGAAAACAAATAAAATTGACAAAATAAAAATTTGGTTCTTTGAAAAAATACATGACATTGAGAAACCATTACCCACAAGGAGAATGAGGGAGAAAATTACTAAAACTTATGATGCAAAAGAAAATATCATAGTGGACACTAGTGAAATACAGAAGGTAATGAGAAACTGTTTTGAAAGTTTATACTCCAATAATATGCAAAATTGTGAAGACATTGACCAATTACTAGAGACATGTGACCTCCCCAAACTGAATCCAGAGGACATACATGGCTTAAACCCATCAGGTTAAAGTAATGAAATGCAAGATGCCATCAAAAGCCTACAACTAAGAAAAGCCCAGGACTAGAGAGATTGTCAGCCAAGGTCTATGAGACCTTCAAAGCAGAACTAACACCGAATTTCTCAAATTATTATATGAAATAGAAAAAGAAGAACCCTTCCAAACTCATTATATGAAGCTAGTATCACCCCAATACCAAAACCAGACAAAGATACAAGGAAAGAAAATTTCACACCAGTATCCCTGATGAACACAGATGCAAAATTCTCAATAACATTCTGGCAAATTGGGGCTGGAGCTGGGGTTCAGTGGTAGAGCACTCACTTGCCTGCCATGTGTGAGACACTGAGTTTGATCCTCAGCACCACAGAAAAAAATAAATAAAAATAAAGTCATTGTGTACATGTACAACTAAAGAAAAATATATTTTTTAAAACTCCTGGCATATAGCATACAAAAACATGTTTAAAATAGTGCACCAAGATCAAGTGGGGTTTCTCCCAGGGATGAAATGTTGGTTTAACGCATGGAAATCAATAAACATAATTTATCATATAAATGAACTTGAAGATAAGAGTCATATGTTTATCTTGATAGATGCAGAAAAAGCATTTAACAAAATTCATGCTCAAAACATTTGGAAAACTAGGGATAGTAAGAACATACCTCGACTCTGTTAGAGCCATCTATGCTAAACCCATGGCCAGCATCATTCCAAACAGAGAAAAATTGAAAGCATTCCCTCTAAAACCTAGAGCCAAATAGGGATGTCCTCTTTCACCATTTCAAATACACATCATCCTTAGAATACTAGCCAGAGCAGTTAGACAGAAGAAGGAAATTAAAGAAATACAAATAGAAAAAAAAAAAGAACTCAAACCATCACTATTTGCTGACAACATGATTCTATATCTGGAATATCAAAAAAATTCCACTGGACATCTTCTAGAACTCATAAGTCAATTCGGAAAAATGGCATGAGATAAAATCAAGACCCATAAATCTAGTATGTTTCCACAGATCTCTGATAAATCCTCTGAAAGAGAAATTGGGGAATCTACACTGATCACAATAGCCTCAGAAAGAAAAATACAATATTTGCAAATTAATTCAACCAAAGAGGTGAGATACCTCCACAGTCAAACAACAGAACAGTAAGAAAAAAACAACTGAGGAAGGCCTTTGAAGAGAAAGCCATGTCCCACGTTTTTGGATGGGCAGAAAGAATCTTGGGCCATTGTGACAATGGCCCTACTGCCAAAAGCACGGTACAGATTGAATGCAATTCCTATTAGGACACCAATGATGTTCTGCATAGAACTAGAAAAAGATGTAATGAAATTCATTTGGCAAAATAAGAGGCTCCGAACAGCAAAAGCAATCCTTAGCAAGAATGGGGTCAAAGGAGGCATCATAATACCCATCCCTGAATCACACCACAGTGCTACAGTAACAAAAATGGCATGGCTGTGGTGTGAAGACAGAGAGACAGACAAACAAAATAGGATAAAAGACACAGAGAAACCCACATAGACGCAGTTCTCTCACACTAGACAAAGGTACCAGAAATACATGGGAGAAAAGAGCCTCTTCAACAAATGGTGCTGGAAAACCTGGAAATCCATCTGCAGCAAAGTGAAATAAAACCCCTCCCTCTCACCTTGCACAAAACTCAACTCAAAGTGAATCAAGGACTTTAGCACTAGAGCAGAGACCCTGAACCCAATGGAAGAAATTAGCCCCAAATCTCCACCATGTCAGATTAGGAGCTGACTTCCTTAAATGAGACCCCTAAAGCATAAAAAAAAACAAAGTCAAGAATTAATAAGTGAGATGAATTAAAAGTATAAAGCTTCTTCTCAGCAAATGAAGAAATCAGTCACATTGAGAGAGCCTACAGAATGGGAGAAAGTGTTTACCACATGCACCTCAGAGCATTGATCTCAAGAATCTATAAAGAACTCAGAAATCTTTAACATCAAAAAAAAAAAAAGCCAATCAATAAATGGGCAAAGACTTGAACAGACACTTCACAAAGGAAGAAACACAACCCATCAACCAATGTGTGAGAAAATGCCCTCTGATATACAGATGCTAATTCACAAGGGAGGCATTAGGGGGGATAGAAGGTCTTTGAACTAGAGAGAGGGGAGTAGAGGGAGGGGGTGGTAGGGGGGAAGGAGAGTGGAACGAGTCAGACATTATTACTCCACATGCACATACGATCACATGACTAGGGTAATTCCACATCCTGTATGGCAAGAATGATGTGAAGTTATACTCCATTTATATTTGATGTGTCAATGCATTTTACTGTCAACTGTAACTCACTATAACCAATGCAGAAGACAAAAACCCAAAGAATCCAAAAGTTACAAACCTATACGAATTAAAACACTGTGGTGCTAAAACAGTAGGCAATGTACAGACCAATGCCAGGGTGAGCCCCAAGGGCTTGCTGCATGCTCAGCTTTTACCAATGGATCCATAATAGAGAAAGGAAAGTCTCTTTAACAAATGGTGCTGAGGACACTTGATATCCACATGCAGAAGACAAAAATCAAAGCCTATCTCACACCATACCATACCAAAGATCAACTCTAAAAAGGAAAAAAGTGAATGGTGAGACTTGAATCTGAAAATTCCTAGAGTAACATACTTGGGCCCCATGTACCCACCTCTCCCCATCTTTCTAAAGTGATGCGTATCATCTTGATTCTAGTTGGATCCCTACAGAGTGTGACATGGGTCCTAA